TTCTAAAATAACTGAATCAGTGGTGCCTTCTAAAATAATGGAACAACAGTCTTACCTTTGGGAAAGGACTATAAACTCCTTAAAAGAACCATTAAGTCAATTTACTAGTTTAATCTCAAGAGAACCAGGAACCACTGGTAACAACATATAAATGTAACTGACTTCTAATATATTGATTTTTATTCATAATAACAGAAGAAGAAACTAAACAAGAGAATATATGGAAGGATAGATAAATAATTAAATAAATAAATAACTATATATATAATAATATATAAAAGAATTAAAATAATAATAGTAAAATGATAATAATAAAGAAATAAAATAAAATTGAAAATATTGTCTATTGATTTTTATAAAAAAAATCAAGAAATTTACTAAATATTACACAACTTATAATATTGTACGAAGGAATTTGGAAAGAATGAGAATAACAAATAATAAATAATGTGAAGAAAGTAGATCAGTAGTACAGAATATAGAGATATGATTTGTGAATAACTAATCTGTCGACCTGATGGATCATTTGTGATTTTACAGATGAACAAATTACTTTTTCTAAAATCTTCAGATAATCTGAATTGAATAATAAATAATTTGAATTATCCATTAAATCTATAGATTGATGATTTAATTTATAGATTAATGATTCAATTCGCGAATTGATAATTCAATCTGACTTACTCTTTTTTTACTTACTCTTTCCTTACTTATTTTTAAGTAATATGAGAAAACACTTACCTTCTTTTTCAAAGTTGGAATTGGGATATCATTTCCATGATATGTTAGATTCACGAAAATAGATAAGTATATTTATTATTAATTTTTTAATATTTTTTTTTTAAAAAAAAAAATAAAAACAACTTATTTACCTCTTCTCTTACTTACTTTTAAATAAAATAAGAAAACACTTTCTTCTTTTTCAGAGTTGAGATCAGGAATATTATTTCCACAACATGTTAGATTCGTGAAAATGAATAAATATATTTATTATTAATTTTTAATCTTTTTTTTTTAAAAAAAAAAATAAAAACAACTTATTTACTTCTTTCCTTACTTACTTTTAAGTAAAATAAGAAAACACTTCTTTCTTTTTTAGAGTTGGAATTGGAAATGTTATTTCCATAATATGGTAGATTCGTGAAAATAGGTAAGTATATTTATTATTAATTTTTAATATTTTTTTTTTAAAAAAAAATAAAAACAACTTACTTATCTCTTCCCTTACTTACTCTTAAGTAAAATAATAAAACACTTTTTTCTTTCTTAAAATTGAGATCAGGAATATTATTCCTGCAGTATGTTAGATTTGCAAAAATAGGTAAGTATATTTATTATTAATTTTTTTTAATATTTTTTTTTTAAAAAAAAAAATAAAAACAACTTATCTCTTTTCTTATTTATACTTAAATTAAATAAGAAAGCACTTACTTTCTTTCTTAGAATTATGATCAGAATGTCATGAAAAGTGAGAATTGAGTAATAGTATAGAAACGAGAAAAGTGGGTAATAGTATAGAAACAAAAAAAGTAGGTAATAATAAAGAATTGGATAATATAGAAGTAGATAATAATAGAGAAGTGAATAATATAAAAACAAAAAAAGTGGATAATATAAAAGTGAAAAAGTGGGTTAATATAGAAATGGAAAAAGTGAATAATATAAAAGTGAGAAAAGTAAATAATATAGAAATGGGTAATAATAGAGAAGTAGGTAATATAGAGATGGAAAAAGTAGATAATATAGAAGTAGAAAAGAGGAAAAAGTGAATTAATATAGAAGTGAAAAAAATAGATAATATAGAAGTGGAAAAGTGAATTAATATAGAAACGAAAAAAGTGGATAATATAGAAGTGAATAATAATAGAGAATAGAAACAGGAAAAGTGAATAATATAAAAGTGAAAAAGTGAGTAATATAGAAATAGGTAATATAAAAATA